TGCATCGAGGAGATCCGTAAAGCTCTGATCGTCTGCAAACATCTCGTCGGCCATCGAAACGAGTGAGAGCGCACCACAGTTGCCAATCTTGGGCCAATGAATGCTCAATCAAATGAAGAGCTTGATTGATGTCAGTCAGCTGATCATGAAACGTGTCGGACAACGTAGTGGGCGGAACGGACTCTGGTGTGCAGTCCCTTGAGTGCCAAGCCCATGTGAGCGGATGCAGTTCATGAAGGAAGGCCACAAAGTGAAAGAACGGGTCCTGTGGCAGTCTCGAGTGTGGTACATCAGAATGATGGGAAATCATGCAGATCGTCTGATGATACCAATTCAACTTGGCTTCAGGTTCAAAGGACAGGACACGACAGAATGGGTCCAGTTGCTGACGAACTAGCGAACATGCTATGTCAGGAGTCCAAGTGTGCAGTTCCTCTGGGCGCAGGAGGCCTAAATGCCAAGGTAAACGAACCTGATCCGAATCTGAAATGGGCACCTCAAGATCCATGTTGTCTGATGGCATGCTCGGGGCACCAAAATGCTGATGACTGGTCCAATTGCAAAGCAAGACCGGACAAGAAGCACGTTGGAAATGGGTGCGCAAGGCCACCTCCATAGTGAACTGGGTGTGACAGTGCTTGCATGCAAGATGACCCCTATGCATGTCCTGGACCGGATCAAAGGGGAAACCATCAGGCCTGTGGACATCATGATATTTCCGAAGATGGCTGATGAGGGCTTTACGGCCTACGTAGTCTTGACACAATGGGCATCTATACATCTTTGCGGGCTCCGGGCAGGGTCCATCAGGATGAGAAGCGAGCATCAATTTCACTGTGACCTTGGCAGTGCGAAGTTCGGATCCCGATGGGGCCGATGTGGTCTGGTCAAGCGGACGATCCATCTGAGCATGCTTCGGGTGCTTTTGATGATGAGTGATCAGTCCAGTCTCGGTCAGGAAGGTGGTATTACAAGCAAGACATTTGAACAAAGGGGTTGTTCGAGCACTTGGACCAGCCCCTTCGGTGTCGTCATCAACCTCCATCGGAGTCGGCCGTGTGTCGGATGGAGGCGCCAGGGGGGCAGCTTCACTGGGAGTCTCGGGCTTGTCTGCATTTCCTGTACCTGATGACGGTCGGTTGGCCCGAGGCGGTCGCATCATAGTGGGCATGACAGGAAAATGCGAAACATCATATGTCTGTCCAAGCAGAATGCTAATCTGAAGCAAGACTCCACATTTATGTGTGCGTACATCATTGCATTGTTGCTCACACAAGACACACGTGCCTTTTCCACTACCTAGATTAGCAAGGCCATACACTTGATCGCGATGCAATGCTTCATAAACCAAAAGACCTTGATGTCGTTCTCCATAGTGTTTACGAATGGAGCGAGCAGGCACGGCAAGGTGACAAAAGACACAGTGGTGTGCAATTTCACAGACCAGGGCTTTGTCCAGTAGAATACCTGGGATGGACTTGTAGCGCAAATGCATTCTCAATGACTGGCGGTCAGCAATCGGCACGATGGTCTCCTTGTGCGGATCAAACTGGAGACAAACTCTGGCATTGATATGATATCGAAGGCGATATATATCAGCAAATTGCTTGTGACAGTGTCTACATGTTGCCTTCCCTTCAAATGAATCACGCAGGGGATCAAACAAATCTTCGATGTGGCAGGGAATCTGGTGTGCAGTACGCATATGTCGTTTCCAGGGTCCTGCCTGATGAAAAGCTCGATCACACTCTGGACATTTGAGTTCAGGTGCCTGAGAGAACGAGAGTGAAGCCGTGGGTTCATGTTGTAATTGGTTATCAGGGTATGCTGGGGTCAAAACGCATATATCTTGCTGACCAGTCTGCATGGCTTCACGGATCAGGATGTCACGACGTCGACTCAGGGAGTCGTTCAGACGAGTTTGTTGTCGAACAAAATAGCACCATGGAGGTTCAATGTGCATACGTGAATAGAAGGCCGTGTTGGTTTCACGGGTGAGGTGCACAGGGGATCTGGTCATGGTCCTATGATGTTTGGTGATCATGCCATTGATCATCTGAAAACTGCGAGTTGAAATCCCCATCTCGTGGATGCCATATGAGACTGTGGGTAAAACACATTGGTTATACAACCTAAGACGAATTGACAATGGGTGATGCTGATCCAGGAGCCATTTCCTCAAGATGCGGAAGCAAACATTTGCAGCTTTGACTCTACGAACAACGGTGTCGTGATCAAATGCGCGATAGCTCAACGTGACACCTAGGTAGTCTGTCCTACTGACTAGAGGAAGGCTTAAGGATTGATCTGGCAGGTGCAAACGAGGTCCTTCTTTTGTTCTCGACGTCCATCGTTTCAAAAACGTCTGAGCGGACTTTCCCACAAGGCGCAAGATGGCAACACTTTTGGTCAGATTGACCCTGAAATGGAAAGCCTTGAGCGTACCCAGCACCACAGTTAGATCATGTAAGGCCGACAGGCCCGAGGCCGGACTATCTATGAGCCACCTGAGGTGAATGTCGTCTGCATATATGACAATGTGGGAAATGATCCAGGGCAGATCGAAACAGGCCATCAAGTGGTCGAGGAGCAGGTACATGCTCAAGGTCCATAGCAAAGGGGCATCTTTGGACCCCTGCTTTATACCCCGGCTGGCTGTGACGTGTCCGATTAAATCTTTATGGGGTATGCAGTACTTATGTTTGTGTTGCCAAGACTGAACAAGGAGTTGAAGGTCTGGGTTCATCTCGAATCGTTGGATGGCTCGAAGTACCAAGTTTCGGTCAATGGCATCAAAAGCCTTCTCAAGATCGAGTGAGCCCTGAAGGCCACCCCACAGTCCAGACTTAGATGGATCACTTTTGTGGTCCTGGCACAGTGCTTTGACCTGTCGACAGTGGTCAGAAGTCAGCAGGAGACAGTCCTGTGTGCCGCGGTGCGGTAGGTAGGCATACAGGGGAACCCGGCAGAGGGATGGAAGTGCATGTTCCAACACTTGTGCACAATGAATGCCCGAGAGGATTTTACTGACTGGGTGCTGAAGACAAATAGGTCGAAGTGCAGCAGGATGATTGGGAGGTTTATGGGGCTTACTGAGGAGATGCAGCCATCCAGTGGCCCAACGTGAGGGGGGAATTCCCGACTGAGTCCAGGCGCATTCGATGGCGGGGTAAACAACTGCTGCAATGTCGTGTGCGAAGACTTTCCAAATCAGTCCCGGCATTCCGTCCGGAGCAAGTGCCTTCGTAGCAGGAAGTTTGGAGAGGCCCATTGCAACCTGATCCTTAGTGAATGGGATGGAGTTCAACGGAGCAGGTGCTAACTCAAAATGCTCATCATGGAACATAGTGCCAAAGTGATCAACAAGGACAGCGAGTTCCTGGTGCGGAAGAAGAGGGGCGCCAAATCTATCATGCAATTGTATCTTACGAAAAGGCTTCTTAGGACAGAGTTTACGGATGTTGCGATACCAATCGTACATACGATTAGACAAAGCATGGGGAACATTCTCCTTCAAGAATTGCTCAAGCTTGTGTCGTTTGTTGATCTTACCAAATTTACGAATCTGAGCATGCAAACGCGCAAAGATGGTGAGGTGTTTCCAACTGTGGAATAGTGTGCAAACATGAACGTACAGAACCTGTCTAGCCTGTCGACGTGCATGCCACATACGGGCCGTGAGGGATACCACAGTCTTGTCAGAAGAAAATTGTTTTTTCGGACGAGGAAAATGCTCAAGACACAATTCTCTAAGATCATGTTCCATGGAATAGCAGTTTTCAATCGGACAAGTCAGTCTAGGTGACTGATGTCTGAGGATACAGCTCTGGGCTGCCACGACAAAGTGTCTCCATGCTGTTGTGTCAGCGATCATCTCCTGTCGAAGTCGAAACCGATCGATAGAAACAAGTTTCGAAGGTACGGATCTGATCGGATGCCACCGGGGAAGGCCAAGGAGTAACGGACGGTGTTGTGGTCCCTGATGCAAACCAATGCGCTCAAACCGACAGTCAATTGAAGCAATTATGTGTTTCCACTTAATCTGATTGGATCGCATGAAAGCAAAGTCGATTCGGGTCTGATGACAACCATACAGAAAGGTGGGTACGTATTTCTGCTTGCAATGAACTGCAACCAAGGATAATTCACGAATCATGAGTTGGAAGTCATGTTTATCGGTTTGAAGTGCCTGGTCAAAGCGTGGATCATGACTACCAATGGATTGCGAATCGCGTTGTAACGGATGATTGAAGTTCCCTATAATAACCATCATGTGGCTTTGAGGAGTATGTTGAATACACTGACGGAGTTTCCCCCACAGGTCCTACCTTTCTTGCAACAGAGCACGGCTTGACTTGGTCGTGCTCCAGGCCGTCTAATATATTGTGTACAAATCATGGACCCTGTCTAGCATCAAGCGAATATGCAACAATCTGCCTAGAATCAACACCGCATACGCCAATATAGATGCTCGGATCAATGTTTTACGGATCATGATAAGCTGGCTCGCAGCGGCCTCTTAAGAGTGAATGCAATACCAATGTTCAGTTTCCCATTGTCCATTAAACTTCCAGTTAGATTCTTGAATCAAGAGTACATCTTCGGGTCGGCCCGTGGCCCAGGCTAACCATTCATGGTAACTCAAGCATCTTGTGGCATTCCAGGAGAAAAGCTTCAGAACAACACCAAATTGTTGTGCCTGTCGAGATTGAGGTTGCAGTGTTGACCTTTGTATTTCAGCCTTCAAAGGACCTCGCAACCGAAAAGGCACGTCGGATGCTGTGAAACATCTGCCATGGTAGCTAGTGTGTCCAGCTTATAATGCACGTTTGCATGCCCTGCGGAATGAACGCTTAATACGCCTTATTCGAGACTGGTGCACCAACTAGCCGTAGCCAAACATCGCCCAGACTTCACTAGCTTTCGTACATGTCTTAATAGGTGCAGGAGAATGCATTGCACTTTCGCCAACCCGTAAGAAAAAAAAAGGTTAACAACCCTCACGCCAGGCTTAAATCCTTGGGATACAAAAGGTGGAGCATCTGGGTTCAAGCCTCCCGGATTTAGGACCGGGAAATCCAGTTCTAAGGGACATCTAGTGGATTAAAATAGCTATGGTGAATATCGGAAGGAACCACATACCAATCTATAGAAGGAAAACCACAAGATCCATAACAGTTGGCCCCAGATACGGCCGCGGACACTTTAACTGGAAATGGCGCTTCCAAATCATAAATATTCCAAAATAATCCAATTATTAAATATCCTTTCCTCATCTTTCCATTAAAATTAAAGCCAATAGTCAAATATAAAGCCCCCCAAAAGCAAATATACCTTCGTAAAAAATCCCAAAATATTAATCGATGTTTAAAATTATTAATTTGGCCGAATTATACGCGTGTGTTTATTGATAGGTTTTATCGTAATATTATGAATAATATAACAAGAATATGTAATATTAATATAGTTTTGGATATTCGTTCAATACACGTTGGAGATACCTCCAATTGTAATAATTATGCAGAAAAAATTGTAACGATTGAACAAACATGAATAAACCCAATTAATGTGGATCATCCCATTCCGATATATATCCTACAGAGTCATTGACACATACCGAGGCCCCGACGATAATTCCCCTCGCTGGAGAATAACGGATGGTCACAATCACTGCATCTCCCACCTTGGTGTTCCACGTTGGTTCTCGTCGAGACCAGTGAAGTCTGTCTTTACCACCATTGAAGTGGCATAGTTTGCTGATCCACAATGATCCACAATGCACAAGGCCGTTTTGTTTGCTTCACCTATAGTAACTAACCCAAACCAGCGACCCGGTGTCTCGCTGCTGTTGGGCCTCCGGACCTTCAAGTCCGGTGCTCTGTTGACCGCGTCGTTCGGCCAAAGGATGCCGGCGAGCCTGAAAGCAGCGAGCCGGCATGCGCACGAAGTCCCATCTCAGCGTGTCAAACAGATGAGGCCGATACATTGTTGCAAATGATGCTGATGTAGAATTCTATCGAATTCTGCTTCGAAAAAGTTGAGAGGCTTGGACAATTGCCTCCCATCTGCTTGCTTCTCGATAGCAAGGCCTGGCAAAACACGACTGCCAATCTGCAAGGAGCCATGAGCCATGCTAATCAAACTTTAAAAGCAGCTCAACTTCACATCGGCCTGCTTTCGCCCACAAGCATCTCACCACGATGCCATTGACCTATACAGGGCAAGCGGCTCGGGACTATGGGCACTGCAACTTCAAGGCCTGCCTTTCCCTCAGCGGTCGCCACCAGACGTACCCGTAGCAAGGGCTGCCCATCCTTTCCTGCCAGCAGCCATTGCACAGTGATGGTCACAAAAATGATATCCCTTTCTTTTGCTTCCTCTACTTAACGAGGAGTTGCTCAGTCTGCTTAAGATCGATCGCTGCATCATGTTTTGTTCAAAACGCTCCTCTGGCGCTCAGAGCAGCCAAAGCTGTCGGAAGTGCGGAAGCTAAGGGAAGCGTCAAGGCGTCCACCTGCAGGCCATGGGGATCTGGTCAAACCTTGGGGGGCTGTTCATGTGGACTAAGCTCATGGGAACCTCCTGTCCCAATCCTTTTCCAAATGGTTGGAAGTGAACCGAACACCTGCCCAACTTTGGTATGTACATCATGTCTGTCTCCCGTAGCGCACGGCAGCCAAATCCTTGCAATCAAGCTCCCAAGTATAGACGAAAGGCGCTGAAGACATGACACTTGACGTAGACTGAGGCAATTCTGCAAGTTCTTTGCAACCAACCGGGTCATTAAATAGGGTGGTGGTGTCCAACCATTGAGTAAATCCCACGCATCCAATGGTGAAGTGGTGCAAACCCAACTTCACCCTGGTGGTGGGAGCCACACCCCACCTCAGCACTCAGCCATTTGGGCTTCAGGACGGATTCCTCTAAGCCTCAGAGTCTACGAGGAACCGGTGTCTGAAACCCGCCACGGTGTGGAACCGGTGTGGCTGCTGAAACCTGTCCGAAAAGTCACCATGGCCCTGCTGGACGAGAAGTCACCATTGACAGTCAGTCTGATGGTTGCTCTTTTTTTCAAGGTCTTCTTGAACTGAACACCCCCTGCGACCGGTTTAGCGGTGTGAGTGCTCGCTCTTCTCAGCTTCGCGCTGAGAAACTCTGTCACGCTCAACGCATTCACTTCGGAGACGTCCACTCCGCCAGGGCGTTCCACCACTCGCGTCCTCCTGAGGCAAAAGGCCGGAAATCCACAGAAATCCACCAGAATGTCTTCAAGATCTGTCTGCAAAAACAGGACGTGTGTGCGCGCATTGGTTGTTTTCGCTTCTGTGACAGCATGATGCGTTGAGGCGTAGCGACAACGTTTGCTGCCATCAACCGCCGATCCTTTCCAACTCTGTGCTCTCAATGAGACGGAGTTTCAAGGAGATCGCCTGGCAAAAGACGCAACCCCAGGTCACAGCAACGTGTGAAGAAAAGCAACTGGGATTCAAGCCTGCCACAACAAACTTTAAAAAATCAAAGACATGCAAAACCACATAGTGACATAATACAATAACTATTACAATATTGCACATCAGCTTCTCCAGTTGAGCCGTTCCGAAAGAGGCCGTCAGACCCGTCGCTTCGGCCTCGGGCACCACTCGAAGCTCACGTGACTTGAGCTGACCTGCGGTGCAACCGCTGCCATGCAGGGCCGGTATGTCAGTGGCCAAGAAACATGAAAACAACTCCACAGGAGTCTACACATGCATGGTCTACAACTCTACAACCTACACTTATCTACACTTATCTACATGTCTGGTATGTTTGGTACATCCTTTACCATCTTTGACCAAATCGAGTCAATTTGGCCTCCCAGGCTCCGCCACAGCAGGGCCAAGTCCTTGGGCGAAACTAATGCGGTCATCTTCAGGATGTCTTCCAGTCTTTGCCCGTCTCATAAGACTGTCAGGTCGTATCTATTCTCATCCTTTTCTCCAAATCCTTTTTTATGGACAAGAAGAATATATTCAATATAGTAATTAGCTCATCAGCTGCTAATCACAAATGATCCGAAACCGTCTGCTTCAGAAAGGTCTTTTTTTGTTTGAAGATCCCCTGGTCTCTTCCCCCCCCAAATACACCGGCACCCCCCCAAATCAACGGTACCTGCCGCTCGGGACTGTGCTCGGTGCCTGGAGGGCCTCAGATCGAAGATGTCCGGAGGCTCCGACGATGTCCTGCGTGGCTCGGGTCGCTCGGGACGAGTCGACCACGACAGGTGGGGAGGGATGAACGGTCCAGTCGTCGTGGACTGTCACATGCCTGGAATTCTATCTTCTATAGTCAGATTCTAATTCTTCTTGTTGCAGCACGAAAAGATTCCCAGGTTGTTCCAGGTATGAGTTCCACAAATTTCAAGAAAAATAGTAACAAGTGCATCGCTACTAGTAACAAGTGCCTTACTAGTAGTAACAAGAAGCTACTAGGAACAA